CCCCCAACACACACACCCCAACACACACACACATCCCCCAACACACACACACATCCCCCAACACACACACACCCAACAGACAGACAGACACACAAACACATACACACACACCACACACACACAAAGTTAGTCTTCCTATCTAAATGGGTACCATCCATTCATTTCTATGGGAAAAACCATAATCCCAGTCACGACACATGTCACACAGCGAGCTGTTTCTAGGTTGTTAATCTGAGTGGACATGTTCTGAGTCTCAGCAGACCTGCTCTGAACCTAAGTATATAAAACTATATAAGAAAATTTACCTTGAGCATATACAGAGTCACGGTACATCTACTCTGATCCTGAGGATTTAATGAGCCTGAACAAATGTACTCTGAGTATATGTAGAGTCTAAGCAGATCCATTCCTAGTATATATAGAGTCTAAGCAAGTCTACTCCTAGTATATATAGAGTCTAAACAAGTCTACTCCAAGTGTGTGTGTGTGTGTGTGTGTATATTGTAAGCATCTAAGCCAGGGGTCTCAAACTCCAGTCCTGTGGGGCCGGAGCCCTGTGTAGCTTCTTTCCCCCTTCCACCACAAATGATTCAGCTGAAGAGCTGTGTGGTAATTAGTACAGAAGTTGAATCAGGTGTGTTAAATGAGGGTGAACCAAAAACTGTGTAGGGCTCTGGCCCTCCAGGACTGGAGTTTGAGACCCCTGATCTAAGCAAAATTCAATGCAGATCCACTCTGAGGATATAAAGTATAGAATTTAAGCAGAACAACTCTGAGTAGATACAATACAGAGTCTAAGCAGATCTACTCTGAGTATATAAGGTACAGAGTAAGTAGATCTACCCTGAGTACATACAGCATAGAGTCTAAGCAGATCTTCCCTGAGTATATACAGTATAGAGTCTAACCAGATATGCCCTGAGTATATACAGTACAGAGTGTAAGCGGATCTACCCTGAGTATAAAAGGTACAGAGTCTAAGCAGATCTTCCCTGAGTATATGTAGTATAGAGTGTAACCAGATATGCCCTGAGTATATACAGTACAAAGTCTAAGCAGATCTGCCCTGAGTATATACAGTATAGAGTCTAAGCAGACCTGCCTGGAGTATATACAGTACAGAGTCTAAGTAGATCTACCCTGAGTATATACAGCATAGAGTATAAGCAGATCTGCCCTCAGTATATACAGTATAGAATCTAAACAGATCTACCCTGAGTATATAAAGCAGTCTAAGCAGATCTACCCAGAGTACATACAGCATAGAGTCTTAGCAGATCTACCCTGAGTTTATAAGGTACAGAGTCTAAGCAGATCTACCCTGAGTATAAATAGCATAGAATACAAACAGATCTGCCCTGAGTACATACAGCATAGAGTCTTAGCAGATCTACCCTGAGTTTATAAGGTACAGAGACTAAGCAGATCTACCCTGAGTATATACAGTATAGGGTCTAAGCAGATCTACCCTGAGTATATACAGTATAGGGTCTAAGCAGATCTACCCTGAGTATGCCTCAAGTCTGTGGCTGAGCACACTGTCTGGGCAGACATAACCAGAGGGTGTTCAGTGCAGCATCTCCTTTGTTGTGTAATGCACTACAATTTGTATGGTTGGTTTAGGTTAAGGAGCCCAACAGGCTGAGGCTCACACATTGGGTTTACAGTGGATAGTGAACACAACAGGAATGATGTACAACCTCAAGGGAGGCAGAAAAAGACGCTGTTCAAACTTTGAAGCAGCTTGGCTGTTGTACCTTAGGAGGAGGTTTGGTCTTCCAGCTCGCTAGGCTGCGATTGCAGGATGTTAACTAAAAGGTTAAACCATGTATTTCAGTGCCACATGGGGAAGGCTTTTAATAGCGAATCTGTTTTACCGATGGACTCCAGTGAACTCCAGTCACAATGCTTCTCTCCTCTCCTCTCGGAACTGAAAGGAGGGCTCAGACCCCTTGACCCCACTGGCCTGTTAAAAGACACCGTTGACCAGGCAGAAGACTGTGCATATGCGTGTGTCTAAGCCATGGCCAGACAGACCAGAGCGGCAGAGGGGTCAAACGGGCCCCTGATCTGGCAGCGCATGGACGGGGGCTTCGATCTGCTGCCTGCCTGCCCGCACACAAGGGCCCATCCTCGCTCCAGCGACTCGCCATTGCGACACTTACACCTGCTGCCGTCCACGTCACTCTGCCAGGGGTGACTTCTCTTTATGGAACAAACCGGAAGGCTCTGCTGGCTATGCTCTGGGCCTCCTCAGAAAAATAATAATCTAATAAATAAATAAAAATCGAAAAATATGGCTAAAAGTGCTGGCTTGTTAAATTAGGTCATTTATTACCTGTCAAGGGGAATTATCACACTGATGAAATCTCCAATGCAATATATTCGAGTTTCAATAAAGATAATGTAATGAGATAAAAATCCATCTGCAATAAAAGATGGACATATTCTTGGGGTTAGATTGATTGGGCTATTGGTGAATAATTCTTACATGGACAGTCCTTTGAAAAAATGTCCATCATGTGAAGAACAATGCTTGAGTGTGTTTCATTTATTTTCTTCAAACAGATGCTTGAGATGAAGCACATGGAGAATGGCCATATACGCTTATCTCATTATTCCAGTAAATTCCAGCACTGAAACGCTGCCCACGGTAGACATCTTTTGTTTTCTGGATGTCGGTGTTTACACAACACCTTGGGGGAGGGGGTACTCTGTGGGCGACTGTTTGGGTGGATCGCGGTGATAAAGACTTGGGGGCTGGGTGAGGGGGCGTTGCTGTGGCAACACTTTGATTCGTGTCCCGTGGAAAGGTCTTGAGACCCTGAGGCTGCACGAGGGTCAGACGTAGGCTGTAGACAGAATGCACACTGCCCCCTGGTGACTCCCTAAGGCCCTGCAGCTTCAGGATGCCTCTTTGCTCCCATCCCTGGAAGGTTACTTACTTTGGCTCTACAGTCGTCTTTATATCCTTCCCGTCAGTCGCTGGTTCTTAGCAGAATGTGCTATAGGGACGCTTACAGACTGGCAGGCACTACGTTCAGCTGCATCAGCGCCTCCTACTGTTCATGCACAGCAGGTCCATTTTGCCTACGGATGCCCAAATACTCTACCTGCAGCCCTCCGCGGCTTGCCAGCGACTCCCGGAGGACTTACCTGCCACTCCCCCTGACAAACCTCCTCCCCTCAGCGTTAAGCTGATAATCCCCCAAAATAATGCTGGTGTACCATTTATTTCATGTATTACGCCATGTTATGGAGGAAAATGTGGAAGATGGTCAATGTACATCAGAAATGTAAGGCGTGAATGAACACAGGCCTTTCACTGTGGCTTACTTAACTTGCCAAGGGTCACAAAAAAACAAACATTCATTCTGAGGGAGGTACAATAGACTCAGTCATTACCTGAGATTACTCTGGCTCAGCAGATCTCACCTGTGCCTTTGGCAGTGTATGTTACTTCAGGCTTAAATGCTTAAGTAGTGACATTACAGAAAAGCATTCCCAAGAAGATAAACCCCCAGACTATGTCATACCCACATGCTCCTACAGGTGGTGCTGTTTCCATCTGTGTGCATCCACCATCAAGGGGGTCATTTTAGTGTTCACTCCTCACATTAGAAAACTCACTGTAATCCTGTAATTTTCTGAGCTCTTAGGTAGAGATGAGGCCTACAATGAGATGGAGATGTGCTTCTGGAGGTGCTGATGGCTGACCGAGGGAGCTGGGTACTCACATTGCACCAGGATGGCAGCCAGCGCGTTCTTAAACTTCTCCTTGGCCTCCTCCATCTCCTTCTCATGTGCTGCCTTCTCGTTCATCAGCCGCCGTATATGACTGTTGGACGACTGGATCATGGAGTAGAAGTTGTTGGCATTGCGGCGGTTCACCTCGCCACGGTCCACCCAGGTCAGCAGCACCCGGACGGCCTCTGGGAATTTGGAGTCATCTGATGGTGGAGAAGCGATTTCAGGCTGGGGGAGGGGGCAGGCATGAGAGCACACAAAGCCTCCTTAGAGAGCTGAGGCTGGCTCTCTTCTCCCAGTATGGCTGTAAAGACTGTATACTCTATGGCTGTGTCTGAATTCAGGGGCTGCATCCTCTAAGGCTGCATTCAAGGATGGGTGCATCACAGCAGTGCAGTGCTGTCCCATTTCAAAGGCTCCTTCAAATGCAGTCGCGAAATGCGTCCTTCTTCTTGTCTTTGTAGACCATGTACTTGGAAAGATGCAGCCCCTGAATTTGGACACAGCCACCATGGCTGGAGTTTAGCAGGTTCATGGAAACAACAGGGACTGGTATTGAGGCTCTGAGCTGATTGGCAAGGATCCCAGTCTCTGGATGGGAACTGCAGGGATGCTGCGAGCGGTCAAAGAGTGAGCGTTTCCTGCTGTTCACCCCCACCTCTCCGCCCACACGAGACAAGACCTTCTGCTGAGCCCTGTGCTGTCTATCAGTCCATCCAGTGGGAAAAACCACACGTACGACTGGGACGACTTTCATGCAGCCCGGAGACCCAGTGGGGTGAGACACTACGGGCTCAGGGATATGACACATGGGCCCTCGATCCTAGGAAGCTGCTCCGTGGCACTCGAGCCCTGGGACTGCTCGCAGCTAACATTTACTGGTGCAGCTTGGTCACATGACACACCTCCGGCAGCCATGCGATGATGGGAATAATTCCAACTTATTCCTGCTGCCCAGAGGAAGTCAGTTTATCCCAAATAAGACCTGACGGCGTTTATAATGGATGGTTCACCTCACCCAAGGGCAGAACCGCAAGCCCTGTCCGGGGAACAGGCCTCCAGTCTGCCTGCTGAAAGCCCCTCCCTCCCGCTGACATGTAATCTGCAGAGTGTTGCAGTTTCCTGTGGAGTGATTTATGGCGGGTCCTTGTTACCAGGCTGACCGGCACATGTTGCCACAACGTCGTGATCCCGCCTGTCCATCTTCAGGTACCTCAACTTTTCTGGGTCGCTTACAGATCAGTTTCCAGTGGGATGTTTGTTTTATGTCGACAGAGGAATGAGGATGGCGTTCCCCCCGCCCCCTCTCTCCCTCCCCCACATATCCAGGTCCTGATGCACAGAGACTCACTGCAAATGTGAGGCTGCCAACAGCCTCAGGGATCCAGCGAATCGCAGAGAATGACTCATGAGGCACCTTAAGCACTGTGTGAGAGGCAGCATGGATAAAGGAGGCTGGTAGGGGTGGGGCGGAAAACAGGGGTGGGGCAGGGGGAACAGGGCAAGGAGACAGGGTTGGGAAGAAGGGGATAAGGGAGGGGCAGAGGGGAGAGGGCAGGAGAGATAGGGCAGAGGGAATGGGTGGGGCAGGGGGCACAGGGTGAAGGGGACGGGCAAAGGGGAGAGGGCAGGGCCAGGGCAAGGGGACATGGCCAGTCGAGGGTCAGCACTCACCTTTGATCTTCTCGCCTAGCTGACTACATTCGTGCTCGGAGTAGTGAACAATGGGTGGCGGCGAAGGCGGCCGCAGTCGGTCCTCCTCGATGCGGCGCCGGTGCCGCTCCTCGCGGGCCAGCATGCGCTGCCGGCATTCCCACTCGTACAGGTCGTCTCGGGCTTGAGCAAAGTCCACGTGAAGGCGGCCTGTGTCTTTCTTATCGGTGCTGGAGCCTAGCCGGATCCGGTATCCTGTGGGAGTACGACGTGGAAATGACTGAGTGGGTTCGGGCGGCACAAAGCTCCCTCCACCCCCCCCCCCGGCTAATATGGTACTGGAGTGCCACCCGGCACGTCTGCCCTCTCTCTCAATGCCTCTAATTCGATAAACAGTGATGCAACCTTCCCCTCCTGCTCCGTGTTTTAATTTAGCGCATATGGCAAGTGGCATCTAACACACATGCTCACCATGATAATCTGCATGGTCCGTACTCTCGACGTGCCCAATTCGGAAAAGACCACGATCTGCACAGCGCTGCAGTCTGATGGCCTTCGTTAGTGGACTTACGGCTCGATTTTCAAGACACGTCCATGTGTGAAAATGAGCTGTCTGTCCATCCTTCTGTCCCCAGGGCCTTTCCAGTCCCTCCCCTGTCACTGCTTTGTGCTTTAGCTCATTTGCGACGCGGTCGTGGGCGAATTAGCGCTCGTGTGCCTCAGGGAGGGGCATGTTTGGAAGGCCGTCTCTGCAACGTGACGTGCTCCCCGGGGGGGGCCTGCCGGCTGCTGACAATCACTGAACCGACTCCCCGGTGGAAAACAGACAGAGTGTTTTTGTAGATCCTGAAAATTAAATTATGAGGACGCGTTGACGTGCTTGACAAACGGCTTGCAAATGGATGCTGGGGGGTTGGGGGGTGCAATGAGCTCCCAAAGCCTGAGCTCTCCTTGGCTCCAAGGCTCCCAGACATAGTTAAACATTTCACGTGCCACACCACGCATTTGGAGTGTTACGGAACGGCCTGGCGTCCCATCGAGAGGAGGCGTGATATGTGGGTACTGTCTGGGACCCACATACAGACCGCACATTTTCAGAGCTGGCAGAACAACTGCAACTGTGCAGCGGGGAGATAAGAGGCATGGGACAAGTTTCAATCTGCAGCGGCGTGCTGCTTTAGGGATCCAGACTGATCCTCATGGTAAAGGAGATAAATTTACCATTATGTACTCCCATTGCAGCCTCACAAATACATTAGCGTTGATCATGGCACCGAAGGAGCCACATGCATCATGGCACGTGGCGAGCCACGGCGGTCGGCCACGCCCTGCCCCCACACGCACCGGACAGGAAGAGTGCCTTGTCCACCATGTACTCCTCGGAGAATCGGATGTGGCAGAAGTTCTTCTTGCTCTTGCGGATGGCGCCGATATCACCGCACTGCTCGAACACCTCCACAATCAGCTGCTCTGTGGCGTTCTCTGGCAGGCCTCCCACAAACACCGTCTTGCAGCCGGGAGGGCGCTCCCTGGTGGCAGGAGGCGGCAGATCTGTGGTGAGGGAGAGGAAGAAGAAAGGGAAGCATGTCCGTTTTGATCCTGCACATGCTCACGATTTCAAATATGGCAGGTGCTTTTTTGTGCTAATCACGCCATCCTGTAGCTGTGCCCATGCTGTCCCCCCTCCCCCAAAACACACACACACACACACACACATACACACACGCACACACACAAACGGCATTGCACAGTACTGACTGGCGGAGGGCTGTGACCCCTGCCACTGGCAATCAGCGGCTTGCATGCACCCGCCGGACATTGTGTCTGCTTAGTGGTCAGCCGTGCAAATCACCCCCTCCGACAGCGAGTGACGGATGGTGGCTCGGCTCACTAATCAGAGCTTTAACGAGCGGCTGCGTCAAGGTGGCCCTGATGACAGACAAGGCGCTCCCCCCCACGCACGCCGGAAGTTGAAGAACATGTCAGGTTAATTAGCACCCACCCGCTCTGTGCCATTAGACAGGGCTAGGAGTCTCATTTGAAATCACTGTCACCACATGCAAACTGATGCACTAAATAGTTTAGAATAAAAAAACTTTTTCAAAAGGAATTTTATGAGTCATGCTTTCTATAATATCTGACATTCCTAAAAGTCTAATATATAATGTGATGATACTCCATTAACCTCATAAATATTATGCCAAAATATTGTAGACGAATGTCTAGCCTCCCTCCTCCCTCAATGCCAGCAGCAAAGGCTGCTGCAGCAAAGGTAATGAGAAGGTTAGTAGCTGCTGTTTGGTGCCTGACCGGGTCAGGAAGTTTATTATGCTGGGAGGTAGAGATTTAGTCAGGTGCTACCGACCTAGTGATCTTAATGGCAAACTATCTTAATGCCCCCCCCCCCCAGGGGACAGTGATATGGTACGGCCATAAGCGCCAGGGAGGGAGAATGGAAAGGTGCGAGCTGGTGTGGGACGGCAGGGATATTCTGAGTTTGATTGATGTAGATGGACAACGCGACCTGAACGTGTGGCTCACCTGGAGCCCATGGCCAGCTGGCTATACTGCGGCCCGTGTCTCCCAGCAACGGCGATGCTTATCGCACCCAATAGCACGCCTTACCGCAGCCTGGCAGGCAGCGCCCAATAGCACGCCTTACCGCAGCCTGGCAGGCAGCGCCCAATAGCACGCCTTACCGCAGCCTGGCAGGCAGCGCCCAATAGCCACAAGTT